ATTTGAATGAAGATAACAAAAAAGGTCAGTTAGTTCATCAACATAATCGAAAATTAAAACGAAAGAAAAATGAATCATATAAATCAAGAAAAGAACAAAAAATTGAAAATGAAAATGACGAGGACAATTACTCTCAGGGTTCTTCTGATGAAGAAAATGGACATCATGTCTCGGATCCAGATGACGACAGTGAACCAACAACAAATGATGATGAGGAAACAATAGCTGATAGAAGGAACTGGAGGCGAAAAGGTTACAGACTCTATCGTCTGGATAATCCAACTTCAATTCTTATTGAACAGCGAACAACCACGGCTGCTACAAATGAAGCCGCTACAGAATTAATAGTTTTAAACGAAGGTGTATTTACTCGTATTAAAGTTGCCATGGAAGAATCAGTACCATTTGTACAAGGTATGTCTCAAAATATATTTTGTGGTGATTTTCCAATATTTCAAGAAAAATTGACACGAACTGGTGTTCAAGCGTGGTCAATTGCAAAATTACCTGACAGTAGCAGTGATTATGTCTTTAGTTTATTAGACGGTCCCGAACTTTATCTGTTAAAAACCAATGCCATTGAACTATTCACAAAAACACCAATTGAAATATGTCCATATTTAATTTATCATTCAAAGTTAAACTTGATCTTTGCGTATGAATCAAAACAAATATTAACGATAACAAACGAAGGTATAGTGGAAAAATCAAGATTATTTGAAAAATATATCGATGATCAAAAGATTATTTCAATGACGTTTGATGGTGAAGGAATGATTTATATTTTGATACAATATACTCGTCTCGATATTGATCAATATTCAATTTTGAAATTTGATCAGAAGGTTGAATTTATTGAAAAAATTAAATCAAATCAGTCTCATTATAAAATAATTACACATATGGTAGTTTCATCAGATGGGCGTACATTTTATTTTTCCGATTATGATGATGGTACTGTTTTTAAGTGGTCTAAGACTTGAGATTTTATTTTTTTGTAACTGAAATAAACTAATAAACGGAAACTATTTATTTAATAATTTTCCTAATTTTTGAGTCAGTAGTTGATAGCTATCCAAAATGTAATGTAATATCTTCGGATGTACAATTATATTAAAATTAATCTTGTTTATGAGCAAAACATGACTTATACGACCAATCTCTACTGTAAATATCGTCGAATAGAACTGAATTATTATAACCGGTAAATACAATCGTTCATATATTCGGTGAAATGTTTTTTCTTTGTACATGAAAACCACGAGATTGATCGGTTCTTGCAAAAGCTTTATATCTCATAAACTAAAATAGGTAGCGACCTCGGACTCGCGTAGATCGATAGAAGACGTACTGGGTCATTCAGCCCCTGAATTAAAATTGATAATTCATGATACCTTCGTGATATGTGACCATAGGATCTTCAATACCCACAAGATACATCACCTGAAAAACCGAGACTTATCTTTGTCTCTTATGTGAGAAGATAGGGAAAACTCTTCTCTATAAAATCCGAACTCTTTAGCTCTTTTCATTCTCGAGTTATTCAAAAACATCCGCGGCCCCTCATTTGTGAGATTGATAGTAGTTCAGAAATTTAGAGAGCGATTTTAACGTACATGTGTGAAGTACATTCGTTTTTTCTGTTTATATTATTCCGAACTGTATGCTACATGTGATTATATCAGCTCGAGATAATAAATAAAAGCTAATTGTAAACAGAACTAATAATAGACAGAAATAATAGTAGATACACTGAGAAAGCATCCGACATTCGCCACTGTCATCGGTTAAGTAATAAAGTTCACATATATAGATTGATCTCTAATCTCGGCACTACTATAGATAACTTAAAAACTGGAAAAAATAAGAAATATTTGACAAGCAAGTGGCTTTTTTTGTTACTCAAGTGTGGCGGTAGTATTTGAAAAAAATAAAACGCGCTTCAAAATACTTTTTAAAGAACCCAATACAAGTTTATGCTGATAAAACTTTCATAAAATGAAACATGCTTGTGCTAAAAGGTGTTGAAAGAACCCGTTTAACTATTCCTAATCACACGATTGTGATCAGTAATTATAAGACAAGATCCAGGTCCCTGTCTCGCTAAAGATGCATTTCTGCTTGAAACATGTGCGCAGTAAAATCATATGTCGTCAACGTGTATCTTACAGAAGAAGTTAATGATTTTGTTATATTCTAGACAAATAGTATATTGAGTAACATTATTGCCCAAAGCAGAAGTTATTTGTTCGATAACGGTTGTTTCATAACCATTTTCTAAAGTTTGAATTTCTCTAGGCACAGTTTCTATAGTATTTACTTGCAAACTACTTTCGCTTGCTGTGTTTTTAGGAGCGGTGCTGACACTGTGAACACGTTTTTCTTTATGTGTTTTTTAATAATTGGTATTCAATAACTTTTGGCGACGGTGTTTAGATGATAATAAGTAAATAATACCTTATAGTTTCACAGTGTATCAACTGTAAACAAACATTATGGACCTATGTTGGCTGTAGTGTACACATTAGCACTACACACAACAATACTGCAGGAATTATGACTCATTCACTCTAACAATATCAATCGCATAGTCGAAGAGCGTTTAATTATGGTTTTGTGCGCGTATGAATAAGAAGTACAAACAGACTGTGAAATATAGTGGAAAAAATCAGTATTTGTGGTATATCTCCCGGATGCTAACTCGTACAATTTCTCGTCTGCTGAAAGGGCACATTTACACAGTATTACAAACAAAAAGTTCGAGGAACGACATTGATCAGATGAAGGGTTAATAGAGAAGTGGCCCTTATAAAGTTTGAGTTTTGTGCGTTTTTCAAATGTAATTTTTTTAAAACCTTGACCTGGCTCTAGCTATCCCTATACCTGCGAGACAGGGTAAAAAGGGACAATGCATGATGACTCCAACATTGTCTGCAAAAGTGGATATGATTAGTTGCCGTTTTTCATGTGTTGTGTTAACATAGAAATCTGTCTATTTTGAAAAAGATGACATTGGTATTGTCACTGGGCTCGTCTCTACTTTCTTTTCGTAAGTGTAATATTCATGTTTACTAGCAGAACAGAAAAAGCTAATGTACTTCAAAAATGTACTTTAAATCTCTCCCTAACCCTTGAAGTATTTTACCAAAAAATTTTTTCATTTTATAGAGACCATTAGCCAACAACTTAGTCTAAAGTCATTCAATACAAGTGTTCATTCTTGTTGGTGACGCTTAAGACATCGACATGTTCAATTTCACGTTTTGAAATAATACAAAAGACGTGGGTAACCTCGGATTTGCTGAATTTGCTTGAGTGGTCAAAGAAAGTTGGCAGTGCATCTGTGAGCAGGGCTCAAAATAAACAATGATATGATTCACCGATGCTTTAACAAAATATTCATCGTTACTAATGAAAGAGCTTTTTCACCAGTTCCATCTTTCTAACTTGATTTTTCGTGTTGCCTTAACGTTTTTCATAAAATCTTAAGTGCGAAATTAGCTTTTGCCAATTTCTGATGCAGTTTTGTTCGGCTACTCAAGTAGGAATTTGAGTGGCGATAAACGAGTCGTATTGCTAAGGTTTGCGCATGAAACTGCACGAGTTGAAAGTGATTTCATGTAGCACTTCGCGCCTTTAGTATACTGGTAAAATTTTTACTACATTCTACATGTCGTTCTATCGCTTAAATCTGCGAGATGAACTCTAACTCTCACACTGTTACCCACTCTCAATAGTATTGCGTAATCTGGGATAACACAAACCAATAGTTTTTCTTCTAATGATAGTGATGAGCAGTATATTCCTACTGGAAAAACCTTCTAGCACTATAAAAACGGCTTCAAGGAGCTATATTGCTTGCTGATGTGTTTCGGCTTTATTTTCTTATCACAAGCAAATTTCTGTTATTCTTTTGTACTCTTTTAAACACGACGAGAAGAAAACTAATTTGTTTTCTTTTCTTCTCTTTACTACTTTCTCTTTTCACGGTTGAACCCATCTATTACGTTTTGCCCTAGTTTGTCACGTGTATAATCCATTGTATATTGTGTTTAAATTAGATTGACCTTTACACAATATCTTTTCTTGGTTGTTGGCTGATCCGAACAGATTTATTCATGATGTCAATGAGCAACTAAGATTATCCATATTTTCACGAAAACGACATAGCTTGCCAGTGTATCTTTCTACTTTGCTATGACTGCGTTACATTTTAAGCAGAAATCTTGTCCACTATGTTCTCGAAGCTTTTGTATAGAAGCATTGATTATTAAGGTCTAGGACATACTTTCGAGCACTTCTATTTTCGACTTTTTTCATCAACAGTAAGTAATAGCTGGGATCAATGTGAAAAAAGATTTGAGTATCAGAAAGAGTTGTCTGTCAGGAGAGGTGTGGGTGAAAGCTTCATAAAAATTTATAGATATAGGATCTCTGGAAAACCAAAACCCTCAAAATCAGGTCTCTGGATTTGATTGAAAATGTTTTTCAAACAACTTAGTCTTGTAGAGCAAATATTTCTGACCAAAATGAGACGTCTCCGAGTTCTCCACAACCTTTCTTCATACAACTGCATTCGATTCACGAAAGCTCCAAAGTATTTATCTTAATAATTTCGATAATTTTGATGAGATAAATCCAGTGTAGTTGTACGAAGAAAGATCATGGAGAACTTGAAGACGTCTCATTTTGATCAGAAATATTTGCTCTACAAGACTAAGTTGTTTGAAAAACATTTCCAATCAAATCCAGAGACCTGATTTTGAGGGTTTTGGTTTTTCAGAGATCCTATATCTATAAATTTTTATGGAGCTTTCACTCATACCTCTCCTGACAGACAACTCTTTCTGATACTCAAATCTTTTTTCACATTGATCCCAGCTATTACTGTTGATGAAAAAAGTCGAAAATAGAAGTGCTCGACACTTTTGTCTCAAACTTTAATAATCAAGCGTTCTGCGTCTATACAAAAGTGTCGAGAATAGAGATGTGCAACTCGACCTGTACCCGATCCGACCCGAACGCTGGGTATGGATACGGGTTCCGTTATTTTATCTCCAGCCGTAAAGCTCAATGAGTGTTGAAAAAACAACAGAAAATAATTTGATTTCCAGATGAGTTTTCCAGAAACCTTCGAAACTAAGCGAATATTTTTTATTGATTGTACATACAGAATCAGCAGGAGTGAATAAAACAGAGTATTTGCTGAAAAATGTGAAGTAGGTTGGAGGGATTTTGACAGAGTGATGAATTATTTAATCTTTGATGAAATAATCAAAAATTGGTTATTTCACCTAGTATAGGTTTTCACTCGGTTGTTGCATTTTGTTCTGAAAATTAACATTGCCACGAGATTCAGCATAGGCAATAACCTATGTTTTCATTCATTTCTGACAGTTCCAAACCTAACGGCAGAGGAGTGCTAAGGCTTCAGGAAAAACGTCCGTAGCTCCCGAACCATGGATTTCTACGGTGTGGCTTGGATCCAGTTCCGTAGAGGACATTTCAGACTATATATCTATGAAAAAAATTTAATTTTAACTCCAATATTTACTTTGACAGTTGCAAAGCCCCTAAGAGGTTTCTAGAAAACTCCTAGAAAACCTTAAATTATTGAGATATAATTTTGTTAACCTCATAAATTTGAACTACATTGTTTAGCAAGTTCAAAACAGAAAAACAAAAAATTTTAACTTTCCAGCCCTTGCTACTAGAGACGATCTCCGGAAGATCTTGGTCTTTCAGCGCAAAATCTCTGGTCTCCAAAAATAAATTTTTTCCTTTTATCAAAATATAAGCTTTTATATAGAGTACAATGTGCTCTATTCGGTAAGTGCATTGAATAAAAATTCCAATTATTGCAGAATTTTTTTATAAAAATGATCCGAAGATCTGTAAGCTTACAATCCAGATTTTCCAGATCCCATTATGAAAGTCAAAAGGGAAGAAAACTGATAGTACCATTGAATTCAGCATGGTGGTTAACCTCTAGAGTGACGTGTAAGTTGCAACCTCTTCGTTTAAACACTTTTCTGTTATTTGGAATTTCTCTCATTGTGTACAGCATTATACATGTAGAAACACTTTATTTGGTTTCCCACTCTGGATATTTAAAAAACTGAACTGATATATCTATGTTTAGATAGAAGTTTACACATCAATATGTTAGAAAAGATTAGATATAGAGATACAATACATCAAAAAATCTGTATAATGCAAACTGTCCATCCTTTTATACTTTTTTCCGACTCAAATAAGGACTTTTCCGCGACATATGCTCGCACATGTGCCAGATGACATCGACACATGTATATCTGAGATACTACAAAATTATATTTTGCGATGTTCGCCGAACAGTTTTTTGTCATTTTTGGGGTTCTTTCAGCCGCTCCCGATAATCCATCTATGAATATACTCCAAAGCGCAAGTTAGTGCCAGATAGTCCAAGTAGTGTAGTATACGACTGACTATGTCGATTTATGTAACAAGTGTCTTCGCACATAAAAATTTAGTTTTTAAAATGCTTCGTTTTCACTTTCTCTGAACTTTGAGATGGCCTGCACCCCTAGTGAACTATCTTTTTCGGATCAAAGCTATAAATTTGAGTAGAGCAACATATGTTCTGTGAAGTGAGACTCGTGTTTAGCCAAATACTTTAACTTTTCATAGAAGAATTAAGCCAAAAAAGTACGACCATTATTAATATTTTCCAATTTTGCAGGTACGATTTCGCACATGTGCGAAGGTGGTGTGCAGGTGGTCGCAGGTGTGCGAATCACAAAAAAATATTTTTCGGAGTCGGAGTCGGAACTAAAAAGAAGGATTTTTCGGAGTTAAAATCGGGGTCCGTTGACAAGACTAATAAAATTGTTTATTTTTGCTCTAAAAAGAATTATTTTCATATGAATGGCTATCCATTGAATATACTAAAGAAGACAATACGAGGGATTCGATTGAACAAGACTGTACAAAAGCCTGTTCAGAACTTAAAACAGTATTATTTCTCTATGCCTTATTATGGAGAGTACTCGTTAATCTTGGCAAATCAATTGAAAAAAGCACTCTATCATCCGATGAAAACGGTGACTTTTGGTTTCAAAGCGGGACATAATCTCTCTTCTTCATATCAGATTTTTTTTATTCGCTCGTATTTTTGTTCTTGTACAATATTTGTTTATTCTTGACTTAATTGAGATGTCACTAAACTATAAAAAAAAAATTTCGGAATTTTTCGGGGTCGGATTCGGAATGAACTAGAATTTTCCCTCGGAGTCGGAGTTGGAACCGGAATTAAAAAAAAGAATTTACCGGAGTCGCAGCCGGAATGGGAATTAAAAAAGAAGCAAAAAACGGAGTCGGAGCTGGAATCGGAATAAAAAAAGTCGACTCCGCAGTTCTCTATTGTCTACACATGCTGTTTTTAGCCGTTTTTAGGGCTTTTACGAAAAACGCTACAAGTCCAAAAGGAAGTATTATCTAGTAAAAAATTTTTGTGAATCTTCCTAAATGCGATGCCGCTATCTATTGTCAGAGTTTGGTCGGAAAAACTGACTATCAGTTGAGCAGCTTAGGTCGTGCCTACCTTGCAACGGCTCTTAAGGGTGGTCTGTTATGGGAGGGGGTTCAGCTGGAAACCGAAAAGGAGAAAAGTTTTAGGTATAAGTCAGATACAGGTGAAAAAAATTTTCGGTTCGGATACGGGTACGATCTCTAATTGAGAACATAGTAAACATAGTTTTAGCTTTAAAATATAACGCCAACTTTAACATTCATCAATCTTTTTGGGATAAGACGATGTCGATACATCTCTAGAAAAATGTCGACGACTGTGTTAAAAAGAACCGGTAAAAAGCAAATATAGCTAGGCTTTCAACGGTCACAGTTAAGTTAATGCGCAAAGAAAATGATTAGTTCATAGAGCTAAAACGAGACATAAGTGGAAACACCCTCTTTACGGATGAGCAAGTTATAAAAAGCTACGAAATGCCGTTATATTTCCTATAAGAAAATGAAAACAGTGCATTTTCAGGAAATTCTATCTCTTTAAAACTCCAAGAAATTTTGGTCTTATATTAGTAGTTGTAGGAGGAAAAAAACTGATTCTTCAAGTGCGGTAATCCTTAATAATGTGACGGCTTGTGATGAACGAAAGCTAATGTGTTTTCTGCCGTTTTCTTAGTTATTTTAGGTCATGTCGAGGAGCACTGTCAAAAGTGATGCTTTCCTCTATACAAGAAACATAGGCTCTATTATCGAGTACCAACTTCTGATGTTGTTCTAATGATAAAGAAAGTTGTTTAAATTAGGTCAGCTGAGTTGATGACATCAGAACTGATTTTTTGTCGGCTGCACTGTTCGTTAGGCAATGCTGTAATAAAATCTGTTGACAAATTACATAGAGATATATTTCTTTTCTTGTTTTTAGTACTCTACACTAGAAATGTTACAACTACTAAACATTTTAGCTTTTTTCCTTTGTAACAATCTTACTCTCCTCCTAAATAAACGTTGAACATTGAACATTTTGCAGCCAAAAATTAAATGGAAAAACTTGATCCTTCTTTAAATATGTATGTACTTGTTCTTTTTCTAGAAGATTCTTTATCGGTGTTTTTGAACGCAAAACATGTTTTTTGATGGATATGAACAGAAAAAAAATGTTTAAAGGATGATGTGTGTAACAGACTGGCGGAAACAAGGAATTACCAGACTCATTGTTTAACACTTCAAACTCTTCTTCCAATGGTAAGTTGCGTCGAGACATATCTTGGACAATCAACTTAGATGGAGTTATGATTCAGACGACATATAATCAACAAATGTATTCAATTGTTATCTTATAAACTATACATTTTTTTCACTTCACCCTTATAAATTCTGATAGACAAATTTTGAATATATTTGTTTCTTATTTGAAAGATTTTCCATCACCGGCTATGCAAGGCACATTCAAATATCCAGACGTTCCGAGGTAGATTCGAAGTCACTAGCATAATTTATCAAAACCGATCCAAGTGTTTTTATTATTTTTCGTATATTTTAATTTAAGGAGAGCGAAATAACGACAGGCAACGGCATGGCGTAGGAAAATTGTCACTTGCTGATGGTTTCAAATATTTTGGAAAATTTGAAAATGGATTATTCAAGGGATTAGGCATGATTACTTATACTGGCGGTCCAAAGTAAGTTTTTTCTGCCATTAAATATGCTAAAATAACTAAGGAAGAACTTACGCTTTTGTTTAGATGCGATGGCGAATTTTCACAAGGTCGATATAATGGCTCGGGTGTATTTACCAGATGTGATGGTATGAAGTATGAAGGACAATTTAAAGATGGAAAATTTAATTGAATTAGGTTTATTAACGTTTTCGGACAGAGGACATGGTCTAGCAAGAAACGGTGCCGAGAATCTTGCTGCTGTAACCAACCATTACGTATGTTGTTTTAGGTTATTTTGAAAATAATAAATTTGTTCGACGTGAAAAAGTGTTCGAAAATCATACACAAACCGGTAAACGTAGCGGAACGTACGAAAATGTTAGAAACAGTCGGCATAACAGGAAATCGTCTCTTACCATAGTATAGTTAAATGTGTTTATGTATTTTAAGTTCTTTATTTGTTAAAACAAAAAGAAAGAAAATTCTTTCCATCGTCTTCTTACTCCTTCGTTAATAGTGTGGCTACTTCTCGATCGGCTAAATCGATTGATGTTGATGGTCGAAGACGACCAGGTTTTGAACTCGAACGAGAATGTGTTGATTCAACAGGCGAGGAAGGAAGAGATTTTACTTCAGGTGGCATTATAAACGGTGCTGTGGTAGCATCCCCTGGTGGTGTGAAGCTTTTTGATTTTGGTATTATTTCAATGTCTTGACCGTTATTTGTCGGAGAATCAATCGAATGCGACGGAGATGGAACTTCAGACATCGATATTGATTCAAGAGGAGAAATTGGTTTAACTCGTTGCTGGCTATTGATACTTTGTTGACTTGATGGTCTGATCGAATTTCTTAGTAGTTTTGGTCTGACTTCAAGATCATATATATCTAATTGTTTATTACTTGACACAGACGCGGACGGCGATTTTGAGCGAGACCAAGCAGAAAATTGCTTTTGTTGATTATTGTTGTTATTTGAAACCGGTAATGGTGGTAACGTTGCTAATCGTAGAGGATCTTTCTTGTTCGTCTCTGATGGTGATCTTCTTGAATTGGACATGGTTTGAAAATATGGAGAATTTTTACTGTTCAACGCTGAAGGTGCTGCGGAGATATCACCATTTTGTTGTCTAGTCTGAGGTATATTCTTCATTGGGGTCCAACGATTTAGAGTGTTTTGATATCGTTGGGGATTGACTATATTATTAGATGTCGGCTCACTTGCTGTTATGGGAGGGCGATGATTATTGTCAATAAAACTATCCACATAGTCCCAAAAAGTTTGACTTGTTTGAGGATCAGCAACAACTGCAGATATTCTTGGCGAACCAAAATTATTTAATCGTGAAGAATATTGCATTAAATTTCTCATTTCATTTGGTGTTACATCGTGAAGAGTAGTTATGTATTCTGAGCTCCTAGACTCATCCACATTTGTTTTCGGTGTCGAGAACTAAAATAAGAGTTTTCAACATTAAAATCTTATAAACTATCTGATAAACTCTTCCATGGTAGATTGAAATGCACTAGACTAGTATACCTGCGCTGTCTGATTTGTTTGGAATTTATTTTGAGGTACTTGAGTTTGTAAATTCGGCCGCAAACCTTGAGTTAAGGGCATTCGTGGTGCTGACGTAAAACTTGAATTCCGCTGTGGTATATTATTATTCTGAAATTGGTTATTTCGCATACCGTTGATATTTGTCGCTGAATTCGACGTTGTTGATGAAATATTAGAAAGGGATGATGGATTAGATGGTCTGATATTCTGAGTAGGTGGCGTGTTTGGGTTAGAAAAACGAGATATATTTTGGGGTGTTAACATACTTTGTTGAACAGAAGTATGTGTAGCAGGGGATAAAGGAGTAAGCGAAGTTGCGCGAGAGTTGATGTTGCTCTGATTTGAAGAAGCAGGAGGGAAACGGAATGGAGGAGCTTGAGGTACAGAAGAGCTTTGTGAAATGGCACTACTGGAAAGTGGTCGTACCGGTAAAGAAGATGCTGCAGGACTGGAACGCGGTGCTTGTGTTGAAAGATTTAAATGTTGAGGAAAGGGTGGAGCAGGCGGAGGAACAGAAGATTGTTGAGGGAAGGGTGGAGCAGGCGGAGGGACAGAAGATTGTTGAGGGAAGGGTGGAGCAGGTGGAGGAACAGAAGATTGTTGAGCGCTTCGTTTCGTGGAGTCTGTTCGGTCCGATGCCAAACTCTGTCTAGAACTTTTCGACGAGTTTGTATTTTCCTTCCCACCACTAGCACCATTCAGGGATCCGTTCAAACTGGGTGTGGATAAGTCAACACGTTTGTACGGTTGATTTTCATATGCATTTGTTCGACGATCTGGTTCGTTTGACTAAGATATTGATAAATTTGAAATTACCAACAAGAAATAATAAAACTGAGTAGAATACTTACTGCTGGTTTTGTTACTGGAATCGTTTTTTGTTGTGGTGTTTGGACTGAACTTCTATTTGATGATGTGGATGACACTGTCCTGGCAGTACTTGATGCATTCGATTTTAATGACTCAGTACGAGATAAGGATCGTGTTGGCACTTTTGGCGGCGTTCGTAACCTCGATTGAGACTGTTGTTTCTCAGAAAGTTGGGGAAAAGATGATGTAGTAGCGGGATCTGTAGACATTGTCGCTTGCGAAGTTCTGTTTGTTTGTGGAACATAACGATTTGCTTGAAATTGAGATGGAGTCGATTCTTGATGAAATGGTGTCGGTTGTTGTCTTTGCCGTTGTTGCTGTAGTAAAGTTGCTTGGGTCAATTGAAGTTTGCTGATTTCTGCTCTGAAATGAAAGATACAGTATTGTTTTTAGTTATTTTGATAGCAAGAATGTTACTTTAATTGGTTAACTTCGTTTTGAACGGTGCTTGTTTTCTCTCTCAAATCTTCAACATAAGATGGTGTACATCGAGAACATGATGAAGACGATGAATTTTGTCGAGAAGTTGACAAGTTGCCTCTAAATGTTGACTGATCTTTTTTATCCTTTAAGAGAAACAGACAAACGTGTATTCACTTTATAAAAGTGGAAATATAATAGACTTACGTTCATTTTAGGCTTTTTAACATAATATCGTCGTTCAATGATGCGTTCTACACCAGGTAAAAGCATACCATGCGAATCACTAGAACACATGTGACAACAAGTAGAAGTATATTAGTGATACATGATCATTTAAGCTACTTTGTTCCAGATGAACTTTCATTTCTTGCGGGGAAGACATAAGGATGAGGAAGTTCACTTGTTTTTGTCGTCTTCAGTTTTTCTTTCGATTGTAAACTATTCAATTTTGATAATAATTGTTCAAAAAACCAATTGTTATCTTCTTTATCAAAAAAATTTGTTCGATTTTTATATCTACAAAGAAGCAAACAGTTTTATTTAGCTCAACGATTATGTTACAAAAAACCATCACTTACAAAGTCTGTGTTGAGCGTTCGCCACGATGTGTGTTTGTGGATGCTGCTAAAACGGTAAATATTCACTGAAAATATTGGATGATTGTTACCGATACTAGAAATTGTTGAAGATTTCATTTTTCTCTTTAATTTTTAAAAAGCTCTATTTCAAACTTCGAGATGACTTTTCATTTAGTTTTATTCTATCCATCTAAAATCCATGCGTATGATAACCAGATGGTAACCTTACTCAGATTGTATCTGTCAAGGATCGATATTCTTTGTATGTAAAAAAGGTGAAATTAACAAAGGCGTCTTCTTTTTATTCTTAGTTCATAGTCTGTAATTGGAAAAAGTATGAAAAGAGAACGGTTGTGAAAGTTATTTTTTCACTGTAATTGTACAGTTTTAAAGTAGAATTTTTCATACGCATGCTTCTTCGTATTTACACATCTATACATAAACAGTAAAAGAACCATATTCTGAGGTCCAATCTAGTCTTGCTCTACTTTTTTTGAAATATCATATATATTTTCACTTTTTTGTACAATATTTTTTTGCAAATAATGCAAAATATATATAGATCATAATTCACTATTCGAATGTACGACCGTTCTCTTGTCAGTCTTTTAAACTCGAAATTCTGAACCGTTGTCTTTTCAGCATTAACTACGTTCTCTTTTCGACTTTTTCGTTTTATAGTTCTGACCGTTCTTTAATCACTCCAAATTTGACCATAAATAGGCAACCGTTCTCTTTTTAGCCCTAATTCCGTTCTCTAAAAGATCCCTATCCTCTGTAATCAGTGCACTTACCAACAATTAAGTTTTCTAAATAATCGGCATATTTTTCTCGTTTGGCGGCTTTTTCAACGATAGGTGATATACGTCTTCTCTCTTTTTCTGACATGATCAACTGTGGTTTATCGGATTCTGTTGAAGATCTGTTAGACTGAGATGATTTTTTACTGGAAGAGTCTACTCCGTTGTTGTGTGTGGATTCTATATTATTATGAGACTGATAAGAAGTAGGAGGTGGGAGAGGAATGTTAGCGTTCGTCGTCGTCGTCGTCGTTTTTGTCTTTTGTCGTCGAACGCTGTGAGAATGTGGATGTTTTCGACGTTTCAGTAGTTGGCGATTATCAAAATCCAAACTACGATTTAAACGAGGTGAAATTTCTTCTTCATGAAGAATGACGCCATTTTCTCGAATTGGTGGATCAACACTAAGGTTATGATAGTCAAAACTGTGTGATGCACGAACAATACCTTCTCGTGACGGTCGTGACAGTGATTCTTGTTGATGAATAAGAACACTGCCCGGAGGTAATGGGGGATCAGGATAAAATGTGCGATGAAGTGTATTAGAACTATTGACAATACGATTATCTTTTGAGAAAGGTGTAATATATTTCAATTCTTCTTCAGATATAATAACTCCGTTCGGTGGTAGACATGGGTCGTTCGGTTCACCGAAAGGTGGTGATTTACGAATTGCAATAATTTCCATCTATTTTTAGCTGACAGTTCCAGACTGTTGCTACGTCTTGTTACTCTAATATTAGAAAAAAATATCTATTTTTTTGAAAGATAAAAGCCTTGGACAAATATGATTAACCACAAAAATCGATACGTTTGACTATTATTTTGCTATGCTCGAATGAATACGAGACATATCAAACGGATGGCTTTTTTTTAGAGCAAAAACACAGGCCATTGACAAACTATTGTTAGGATATCTTCCCACAGTGTCCTTGAGCATTAGTTGATATACGTATTTAATTTTTCATTAGTAATTTTTCTCTTCTGTGTATTTGCTTTTTTTATTGGTTTTGTGCTACTTATCAAAAGAGAAGAAACTGAATCACTAATGTAATAACCAAATGTTAGTACAAAACGAGTACGGTAAAAAATCTATAGAATAGAATAAAATGAAAAAGCAGATAGGTTAGGAGATAGTTCACAGTTGTAACATCGTAGTGAATCTTGAATTTTTGACCTAACTAGTCTTCTGATTTTGAAGTTACACCGTTTTCTGAACTATCATTTATTTTAAACTTTCATTATTAATCCTAATTGATCTAGCCTAAACCGTGAAATTGGCAAAAATAAAGTTTTATTATAAGATAACCTTGCAGTCTACTTACCTTGAAAACTATAGATATGCAGATATTCGCCTTTCACTCTTTCTTTTTGTCGATTACACAGAATACTGAAATCAATACTATTATAGATATTGATGGCAGAAGCAAATGTAGATTTAATTGCCTTGAGGCTGATAGTAGTTCAAGATTTATATGGCTAAACATGAGAATATCTGCATCTCTTAATGTACAATCTTTTTCTTCATTGGATTTTGTTCATCGGTTTCTTAATTTAAATGATAAACATCGATCATTGGATTTGAAGATTGAGTGAGAGATAGTGATAATTCAATGCTAAAATCACTGTGAATAAACGTTTTGGCGTTTTTAAAAACAAATAATTTGTCATCGATATTTCTCTTTTATATACTCTTTAACATTCTGATAAATTCATACGAAGATTTTTGAATGAAGTTTAATGGCAATAAAACAGCCGACAGGAAGATTTGTTGAATATTTTATCATTTCACAGTTACACAAAATTTTCGTTTCTAAATTCAATGCGATTCCATCAATAATCGTAATTTTCGTCCTAAATGATTGTTGTTCTTCTTGATGTATATATGCTACGAAAGTTTCAATAATCTTTCATTACATGTTAAAGATGTTTGGATATTTCCCAAATTTGAATGTTATTTTCCAGGAGGGATAAAATCCAATAAGGGACGAATTTAATAAAAGTCAACCATCTAATATGACCGTACGACATGTCGTGCGGCAATTCACAGGTAAGAGGGCGGAACGATATGAAAGTTCTGTATAGGGTAGGATTCTGACGCCGTCTTTCTTTTTAGAGCGGGATCGAAATACCAATTCTGGGATTATTTTGCTCTCTCATGTTCTTATAAACATCAAATGATTTAAGACGATGAAGGGCAGTAAATAAATAACCCATGTAATTATATACAGTAATAGGTGTTAATACTGTTTGAGCTGAGGAAGGAAGTTCCCACATTCACTATTCCATGTGATGTTTGTGAACATGGAGTGATATTTCTCCAATGCAGCATTGTTAAAAAAATTTTGAAGTTGTTCTAGATAATGATGGAAACAACAAAAATAGAATTTCTGCTACTTCACCGTCTGAGATTGACATCGCACAAATTTTTACCGTAGCACCGTGCTGAAATCCGTTAAGCTCTCATTTTTTCTACAGACCTTTTCTGCTTCAAAAATAAGTGTTCAACTTTTGCCATGAAAATTAAAAATAAAACTCATCGTGTAAAAAGAAAATAAGATCTCGCTCATTTGATGCCCAATACCGTGTACTTTTGCACACTTGTGAATTCAAAAGAACAAGGTAGTACGCTATTATCTTAATCATAACTAAGAAGCGTTTCGACGCATAAAACACAACTACGTTGATAGATGAAAAAATTTCTTGATCTTACAGCATTGACAATATAATAGCTTTGCCAGAACAAGACTCAAACGATACAAAAAATAATGTATTGCTCACTCCAAACGTATTAGAGATCGCTCCGCTCCTAGTGTATTGTCCGAGTGAGTTCATGAAAATTGCTGGTACTGTCACTTCACGGTCGGTTTTTAGGGATTCCCTTCCTCCTTCTCACGGAAGTTTGTTACTACAAAAAACGAATTATTGTTCTTCAGAGAACATAATTTTTGTTTCACAGCTTTCAGCAGCTGAAGAGCATAAATCATATTTTATTCTTCAGAGAACAAGAATCCACAATCCATTAAAATATTTGTTTATGAAAATGCGTAAATCAGCGCAAATTGAGGAGAGGCGATGAATGCGAACAAATGGCAATAATGACTGCCTTCTGGAAACTTAAAACAATCGTTCTCTGGCAAACCATTGATCTTTCAGATTCTATTCTATTGTCGTTTTGTCGGTTTGTTTTCATTTGAGCCACAGAGATAATTTAGAAGTAGAACAGGAGTTCGAGATTGTGAGGTGTAATTATTTTGTTTTAGTCTTCCTGTTTGACCGTCAGGCTTTGCCGATTAGCTTTTTTAGGCTATAAGACCGTTAGAAGAAAATAAGCTTATCAGCGCATAGTGTTTTAAGATTCATTTGTCAAATATGTCTCCTAATCTAATTTATTTGTTCCATTTGAAGGTTTTTGGAATTTCACGTTTCCGAAAAAGATTCATTTACGAAAATGTTACTTTGAGCGATTAATGCTGTTTCATTTTTCGACTGTTTTAAGATGATTTGAATCTAAACCACTTTTGAAATAAGTAATGGAATCGTGACTTACTAGTATAGACGACCAAGGACTTCTCAGACCTTTTAGATCCTTAATGTAAAAATTAAAAAAGTGCATGAGTGATTTCACTATAATTTTTGAATTAACTTTGTCCAACAGCATTTTCACACTAACCGCGATTTATTTTAAATCAATGAATCCAAGAATTCATTAGTCTTTTCTGTACCTTTATAAAAATCAGTATTAAATAAATGGAATAGATCTGCCCATGTAGCTAATTCATTAGAAATAGCAGTGACATGGACAGGTCTAGTTCATTTATTGAATACTGATTTTTATAAAGGTACAGAAAAGACTAATGAATTCTTGGATTCATTGATTTAAAATAAATCGCGGTTAGTGTGAAAATGCTGTTCGACAAAGTTAATTCAAAAATTACAGTTACTTTGAGAAAATAGAAGGAGGCTTTTAAGACACTCATGAGATTTCTGTTTTTTCGTGTGTGTTATCTATCTACTATTATTCGTAATTCTACATGTTTGTTCGTCTGCCCCTGATGGCATTTGTGATTTCTGCCTTTTTGGTTCACTCCTCAACCGTGTAATTGAGTTGTGGTTGATTTCTTCATTGAAGATTAGATTTTCTAAAGGGTACTAGCTAGCTTAATCCTCTCTAATTTGATGTAAAACAAAGGTGAAGAAAAACATTTTCATTTTCTAAAGAACAAAAATTATGTTCTTCAACTTTTTGATGGTTCTTAAAAAATGAGTTCTTCAGAGAACAATTTGATGTCTAGAAAGATCAAAAATCTGAAGAACAACACTTTTGTTCTTCAGAAAGAGTGATCTTCATCGTCTGTGTTCTTTAGAGAACACAAAATTTGTTCTTCAGTTTTTTGGAAGTTCTTAAAAACCTGTTCCCTGAAGTACAAGTTGTCCCTATAGACATAAAAAAAACGAACAAAGATTTTGTTCTTGAGAAAACTGAAGATTTTTGTTCGGCAAATCTTTGGAGAACACATATATGATCTCTATAGGGGACAAATGAAGATCATTTTTTTTGTTTTTTGAAGAACACAGATTTTTAACAGTGTATAATACTTTACTATCTTTAGAACGTGCAATCACTTGCTAAAGAATACAGTCTTCTTCTTGTTCCTGTTATCAGTTGCTGTGTGAACGAAGTCATTCTGAAACTCATCTTACAGCAGGGTGTTTGAAGAATTTATTGCTGCTAAAATATCAAAATCCTCCAATAGAGGTCGCTACATTCTTGGAGAATCAAAAGATTTTTCTATAAAGTTTAACTTTTGAAATGCAATATTTGGATGTACAGTAGATGCCATGCGCTCTACTTTGGTTCTCTCGTCAGAGAGCTTCATGACCAGAGTTTTTTCAGAAAAAAATCACTTTTTCGATTTGGTAGCGATTAATGTCAATTGAAGCATCAGTTAATCCATACAGATGTGAAAACCTGATTGAAATATATTCTCTGGAAGAGATATATTTCAACAGAGTAGAACATGGTGTAATCAACGCTAAAAAAGAGCTTTAGTCCTTTTATTATGGACGGTAAGCGACTGCATGACTTTCTTGACGTCATACACATACCTAAAGGCACTCAAGGGTTTTACGTAAATAATGATCTCATGCGTTTGTTGAATTCACCTCAAGATGAAAGTTTGGGATGAGAAAAACATTACCTTGGACATACTTCTGACAAAGTGCATTATTCAAAAATGACTCTTGCATTTGAAATCTCTGACGCATAGTGTATATAAATGAAATAATATTAATGTATCGCATCTTAATAAATAATTCTTTAAAATACGTCACGTCCAAAATCTGGCATTATAAAAAAACAAAACGTGCAAATTCTCTTTTTTTCTAGAACGTCTGTTATTTATGTTTATTAAATCCATTTGTACAACTCTAGGAAGTTGTAGTGATATATAGCTCCATCATAGAATATCACGACATAGATGTCTCCATAAAGTGTCGCTCACATAACTCTAAGGTTGTGAGGCTTTAACAGAACTGTTTCAACTTAAAAGTTGGCTTAAATGTAACATGTTGTTAATATGAACTGATTTTACTAAAACGAGCTGTTGTAAATCATCTTCAGTTCTCTAGTAAATAAAAAATGATATAAACAAAGCGATAAAGCGTTTGATGTTATTCGCGTCCATATTCAATTTATATTGCTGTTGTAATTGTTAAGTGTCTTTGTTTCAACTAGTAAATTCTACCTTTTAAGTTCTCATAAGAGTTATACCGGTTGACTATAGTGCTGATATCAGAATGAAAGTAAGAATATAATAATAAAACACCGATAACAATTTGTCATATAACGCGTTATAAAAAAACGAATCTGATAAGTCTTTTTAGCGCTTAGTAACTTCAGTATTATAAAAATGGGTTTGCTACACAAATTTCTATCTCCTGTCCACATCTGTATGTCAGTTTGGTTTAAGTATCGATAATTTTGTGATTGGTTAATTGAGAATTGTAGAGTACATATGTAAACTGAAATCGTAGACGATAATGTGTATGTATTCAGAACGAGGAACAAATGGGAACATATCTCTACATATTTAATATAGACGATCTTTGTTGTTGTCTTGAAATACATCTTGAAATCGCCAAAGTAGTTCCTCAAGTGTTTGCCATCATTTTTTCACATCCATTACCACGATGTGATTGAATTCTCTTATACATACATATTTCTTTTACTTATGTATGTCCTATATATTAAAAAAAGAATTTGAACTTTTTCTTCTTTATATCATGATTTTTCTCTTTTTTTCTGACTTTTATAACCATGTCTCAATAAATACTCTTGTTTAAACAAACATTATATGTGTATGTATGTGTATATGAAATCCTTTACCACTTGACATTAATGGAACGAAGATCCATTATCATATCGAATAAACATATATCTATCTACATGGCGTTTACTGTTTGGGTTTTAAATCAATAGAAGAATGTTTGAATCAATGTATGAAAATTTTGGGATCTTGACGTTAGAATGATTGATCAGAGAAATAAGTTGTTGTTAGCTGCAATATCTGTCACTCATATGAGGTAAGTTAATGTTTTATATCACGATTATGTATACAAGAATATTTAACGAAATAATCAATGTCGCCGTTAGAAATCGTTAGTCTAAAATTAATGTAATCGACGATTACAATTCCATTTAAGTTTTTTTGAACAAAAGGTCTATAGTGAACCAAAGTCAGGACTAGTTCAAAAGAATGAGTGTGGGTACTAAATCAGCACATAAGTCCACGTAAACATCAGCCAGGGGCGTCTATCCTGTGGGATGTTTGAGGCAGAATGCCTCAAACAAAAGTAGATGGTATGCTTTTTTACTGTAAAAATTCATTTTCCGGGTGGTATACTGAAGGCAGAAACCTCTAAGGTGGGACAAAAGGCTTCAAATGCTTAGGTGGAGATAGACGCCGCTGACATCAGCCAAGTTTCAAAGTAAAATATTTAAAAATTCTGGCTGAAATCTTTAGTATAATTACATAAATACAAGAAATGATTAATTTTTTTCTTTAAAAACGTTCGATTCTCCAGTTAGAAGTCAGCATACTGGTAGTTACTTTAAACATTTTTACGTCTCATTCAGTAATCATGAAGAAGCGTTTGTATTCAATAAATATACACTATAAAACTAGTTATTCTGACTCGAAATAAGTTTATCTGTACCAAGATGTAAACATAGTTTTCTGAATTATTTAGCCAGATAAACAAAATTATAACCTATAAGATGGTGCATCAGAAGTTTGTGATCAAGCTGCTATCTCTAGGAATTTGGATTTTCTGCTGGATAGTTGAGTTCTTGTGTGGATCGTTTCCCAGTATAGTAACTCACCTTTAAACAGTTACAATCTATAGCAAACCATTCTTGTTTAATATTTGCAACGGCGTCTATCCCCACCTGAATATTTCAGGCACCGCCTGGGAGCTTCTATCTTTCAGTGTACCACCTGAAAAATAAATTACTACAGCAAAAAAGCATCCCACCTTACTTTTGTTTGAAGTATAATGCCTCAAACGTCCCAGAGGATAGACCACCCTGAATATTTCTGGATTCATCGTTGGCAATATTAAAAATTTCATCCTACATTTATATTGATTAGGACAACAACAGTCATTCGAATAGGTCTCCTTTGCTTTATTCACATCAAATAAGGAATGGAAATAGTCGACTGAAGAACAATTGGGATATCAAAATCTTCAATCAAGTTTAAAATCTTTAAAACTAAAATTTTTAGCTTACTAAGAAAATTTATGGAAACTTTAGTCTTCTATCCTTATCGATATCCTTTCTCACATCTTTCTCATCAATGAACTCATGTTTATTCCTCTGCTCCCGAACTTCAACACAATGTTTTTGAACAAAATCACAGTTAGTCAATAAATAAATCTGGTGCCCTAAATAAAATACTTAAAGATTCTATCGTAAGGCTCTTTTTTCTATTTGACTGCTCTGAGGCTTTTTTTTCTCTTCTCCTTAATCATCGTTCTATTGATTGATTTTCCAGCTCAATGAAATCGAATCATAGAAAACAAATTTTTTTATGAGTTCATGAGTGGGCAATCAACAATAATTGACGCCAACATGCGAGAGAAATTCGATGTCTATTTAAAAACAGAATAAAAACAATAAAAATAAATTATGATTGTAATATGAATTTGTACGTATAGAGACGTATCATTGTGAGAATCGATTGTATAACAGCTAGAAACTCCAGACATTCCCTAGGTTTAACATTGTCATTGACTAGTTAATTTGGCCTAAAACATCGTTTTTCTTCGTCCGATTGCAGAATCTATAGTGTACCGCAATTTCTCTGTATGGAATATTTCTGTGGCTTGACTTATGTTTTACAATGAACTATTTGAAAATAATTCAGAAGTTTGAACGGTTGCTGAGACTAATTTTCAGGAAAACTATTAATTTGCAGTTAGGTTCTAAAATAATATACAGTTTTTCCTCAGTTTTGTTGTTGCTGAATGGAAATGTTATTGCAACAATAACATACCACATGGGAATATTATTTAATGATGCGTTGCATAGAATTTTGGATCTTCATGTGAGAGGGTAATTATTTTGCGAAAAGAAAGTTTGTTCTACAAACATCACTACGATATCTAGAGTATTCACAAAAAGTCATCCAATTCAACTCAAAGCAATCATAAGAGTTCATCGGCAGACATAACGTTTTTGAAACAGGAACTTATGTTTGTCTATCACTCTTCTATCTCCTGTACTCATTAACAAAGATAAGTATTCAGTCTCTCATAAATTATATACAGACAAAATATCCTAAGTTGCACGGTTTTAACGTATATATAACAGAAGTGATGATAAAAAGATAGAAAGGTGTTCTGTTATACATTTGACCAATCATATCTCAGTTACCCATTTCTGATTCGTTACTCTCTACTATGCGTATTTTTTCTTTTCTCTTTCTTTTCAGTTCTGTCTACCAATCAATGTACAATGGGAATGGAATTGTGTAAGAAGAAAAAATGAGAAAAAGAAAGAGAAAAAATAAAAAAAAGTTCTCAATATGTAGACAAGAGTGTATTATATCTGTTTGGTAAAGAGCATTTTGTCGTTTAAAACGAGCCTCTTCACCGATCTCAAAAGCCTTCTTCTTTGGCATCAGCCTCCACATTACATACATACATACAAAACAACAAAAACCACCCGGTAACACGGTAAGAGGCCTTCTCAATTGTATAGATTTTTTTTTCAATAATATTTTTTTTTCTTTTCTTTTTTATACATACATCTACTCACTCGAAATCCTCTCGTCATTGGTATTAACCACACTCATATACACACTCGTATCCCTCTTAGAAGACTCTTACCCAGCCCGTTAAGTTTTTGTCTTGTTGTATCGCCAACAATCAACAATAATAAATAATAATCGTTCAGTTTTCTTCTTTTTCATTTTATTTATTGATAATGAATCGGATATATTTCTCTCAAGTATTCTGTAAGTTCTTTTATTTTCTATAACAGAAACAATTAATGAGACTGTTTAGAAAAAATAAGTTTATTGTTTAACTACTACTAACTATGGCAAAAAAAGATGTTATCAATGAAAATGAGAATAATATCGAATTCAACACACCTAAACTAAACTATTCCTACTAAATATCATAATATCTTAGAGTTCTTATTCTAAGAAAGAAGTAAACCTGAAAGACTATCATAGAGCTAATAAGATATTTAACTATCTTCGAGGTGTCTAAAAAAAATGAATCATCATATTTTTATTTAAAGAAAAATCATCTATAAAACACATAGTAAATTTTCTGAATGCAAGTTGAGTATGATATCGGCTTTTTTATCTTTATAGGTAAACAAGTGAATATATCTATGTAACAAAATCGATCTTAATGTCCTTTACTTCTCCTCGTTCATCCACTACTATAAATAATCATCTTAACGGACATACAATCTCTTCAACTGCAAATAATATCCATAACAATAGTAGCATTGATACTGGTTATATGTCACACACAGACTTTTTTCCATCATTCATTGACGATATCACATCTCCTACTTCATATAAAAAATCTTCATCTGGCTCATCGTCCAATGTCGATCCGTCATCAGCTTCAGCAACAGCTGCCATGATTCATCATCCCTATTTTTCATCATCCGTTTATCCATCATTATCAGCCAGTTATTCGGATGCTGCATCTTCTTATTTATCATCAAGATATAGTTCAACTGCCGGTGATTACTTACAACCTTACCGGACGACAACAGGCTCATCGCCAACAAACTCATGGTATAATAGTCCACATTGTGCAGATCCAAGATTTGCAAGTAAGAAAGAACTACAATTTTACGGATAAATAATGTATACTCAAATTGTTTTAAAATTTTCCCTCATCATTGTTAAACTTACTAAAATGATTTTCTATTCTAGTGTCAAGATTTTTAAGTCACACTCCTTCACAATATGACATGATGTCATCATATCAAAATTCAAATGTTGATTCGTTAAAATCTCCGTATCATCCATTTGCATTTGCACCAAAACGTAAAAGACGTGTTCTATTTTCACAAGCTCAAGTCTATGAATTAGAAAGGCGTTTCTCAAAAAATCGTTATTTAAATGCACAAGATCGAGATCAATTAGCGCAAATACTTGGTTTAAGTTCAACACAGGTACGAAACATAAAATATTATAATCATTTTTCTCTCTAATACATTATTCTAATAGAAAAATTTATTTTTCAGGTGAAAATATGGTTTCAAAATCATCGTTATAAAACAAAAAAATTATCAAAAGAAAAAGGAGGTAGTGGTGATGAACATTCAACACATGTTAGTTCGTCAAAGAGCAGTACACATTTATCAAATTCACTAGATCCATTATTATTAAAACATGAACCACGTTAAGTTAACCACTTTTGTTCTCTTTTACTTTTTTCACTTTCTTTCACAGTATACAACTTGGACAATAAATTTTTTGTGCAATTTTCTAATCGATGACTGCCCACATGATTCTAGAGACATTTGTTACTTTCTCTTTTCTTTTCAAATCAATGTGTCTCAAATATAATTTGTTTTCTGTTCTATTCTTTATTTGTGTCGTTTTTTTATTTTTTTTGCGTAGTTTGTTAATATTATATAATCTCAGAGAGTGATTGGATTGATTCATTTTTGTTCTATAAAAGAAAAAATAATAATAATAATAATAACTATGAATATTAGTAAACAATTTATGGCATCTAGTAGTTTAAAACTAGAATATATCTTAAAGGAATTTCGATAATTCTTTATTGAAGGTAATTTTATATTCAAAGATTTCTATTCATATTAGATTTATAAATTATCTTAAAAGAAAAGAGTTTCAACTAATTTTTTTCGTATTTATGAGAAATACAGAGATGTTTCTAGCCAAAACTATCTAATTTATATTATTTTTTCAAATAAGAGAGATAATGTAGTGTAATGTACACATTGGACAAATATTATTTTTAAAGATCGTTGTCACTTATGATTCTATACAAATATATTGTATGAAAAACTTTTGAGTTAGAAGAAATATTATACATCGTCATTTTTTTTTATACTGAGGAAAAAAGAAATACAATTAATAATATGAGAATTGATGTTTCGAGTTCAAACGTTTACCGGGGACACGTGTCATTTTTAATTGTATTGTCAAAATATGCTTACATAGAGTAATTTCCGTTTTTTAAATACTTTTTATATCTTATCTAAGGTCATCTCGTTTTTCAACAGTAGAAAGAAGAATATTTCTTTTTATATATAAAACGAAAAAACCTTTTTTTTTTATTGTATTCATAGAGAGGGATAGATGAATGAATGAATAAGTGGAGATGTTTTATCATTACGGATGATAAACTGATTGGATATTTTTTAATTCAAAAATGAATTATGTGAGAGTTTTGTACGTGTATACTGTTAAACAAAAAGAAACAGAAATATAGTAGAGAAAATTTTCAACGTTTATTCTATTTATATTACATTGTTAATTTTTCTTGGCTGATATGAACGGCACATTGCTCTCCTTATCTATAAATATGTTTAGATGATAAGGACAGAAAAATAATAACATGAGACATTTTTCATTACTTAAATTTCTCCATTTTGACCAATATCACTTATCCTAGAATATGTAAGAAATAAGTTGAATTTTTGTATAATCAATCGATCATCACTTTCATTGACAGAGCATTGTAGAAGTCGACCCACAAAAAGTTGAATGATAGTAGACTGTCTCTTGGTGAACTGATCAGTACTTCTAACTCATCATACTTCAAATGAATATTCACTCTGATTGGCTTCTCTTACACTGTGATTAAATTAATTTTTCCCTTCAAGTTGTTCGACAAATGAACAACTCAATTTGCATGTTGAATCAAATTTAATCACGGCAAATAATAATTTTGATCGAGAGGAACGAGAAAAAGACCTCAAATTCTTGCAAACAAAATTTTGTGAATAAGAATAATTCTTTTTTTTTTATATCAAAATGTCGACCAAAAGGCTCTTCATGTCAATATCAAGTAGTAGAACTGCTGAACATAAGTGGCAATACTAACAGAGAAAGAAGAAGAAAAAAATAAAATTGGAAAAACCAATGAACACAGACAAAATCATCATCATCGTTGTTGTCATGAAATAGAGAAAAATGTCGTGGTAGTGACGATACTTCACACGACAGCATTACGATAGAAAATGTAAATATAGACACAAAATTAAGACAGTTTTTTATTTATACAATCTTGGCTATATCACAAAATGTATTAAACGAAAACGCAGTTATTACTGAGGAAAACAAATTGATATCATACTCAATTCTACAAGAAATTTTGGACATGCGTCGTTAGAACATAATGCTTTGAGCCTTTGTACCACTGAAGATAAAACTAGCTTAGTTTTTCAGTACGAATTCGCATAAGTTGAATAGAAATTCTGTGCTAGACGATGTCCAAGTGGCTTAAAATTCTTGTCTCTTCAAGAAATGCAAGAAAATTTTATTCCTTTGCCATAAATATCCAAAAAAGTCTCCCTGTTAGTCATAGGCCTCTTTTTCGTCAATCTCTTATCTAACTGTGGTCATTTAGATGTCATCTGGATTTTTTTTTTCTTCTCCTGTTGCGATGATCGTGAACAATATGTATGTTAAATAACATTTCAATTTTTCGTTGAATTTGTCGCAATATTCTTCATGAC